TATATATATATATATATATATATACCTAATTGTTTCTGTTTTAGCTATTTTAGACAACGAATAAATATTGGGTGTATCAAGTAGATCTAAACGAATCCTTTAGCATAAACTTTAAATTCTATTATTGCACGAATTAAAAATGCATCTCCTACCGGAATCATCATCTATCAAAATAAGCACCCTCTATTATTTACGATACCTAATTCGTCGGAAGCTGAAATTTAAACTTTTGCTGCACATTTCGACCATAATATACCAGACAATTTAAATTAAAATTAGTCTTAAAATACCATATTATAATCTGAAATATTTATAAACCACATAGCCCTTTTACACAGAATTTATATACATGTACATGATTAGCCAGCCACTTGTGAAGGAACACGTAGAAATATTTCCCAACAATGAGTTCATTTGGTTCTATATATCCCTCTACAGAAACCTCCTAGTAGAAAAGAGAATAACTAACGAGTCATTTATCCGAGTTTTTGTCCCCTATCTTTATTACAGACCTAGTTTCAGTTCTAATTTCACAGGCCTGAATAATTATTTACAAACCTGGAGCAAACTTAACATTCAAAACTACGGTTTCCTACCCACGAACAAACTGATCGTATTGCCAATGAACAGTAGAGCCAAGTTAAAGAAAACTGAAACAACTGATAATAAAGAAGACAAAAAACCCACAAGTACAAAGTCCGTTAAAAACAAATGTCACATGAAAATAAGTCTTCAGCCAAAAACTATTCAAGATCATTACATATTATCCATATAAAGCTCTGAATACAATAATATGTTGTTTTAAACGCTTTCACGACGCAAAAAATATACTCTCCAATATACAAACGTTACTATTAGACATTACAATTAGACTCTGAAAATTAGTCTCACCTGGAAAATCTCAATAATCTATACTAATGTCACCTATGGGTTAACATATAGTAAATACAAGAGACTGTTAAATTTGAATAGACACTAAAATGTTTCTGGAAACAAATTGATTTAATGATCAATCATTGATTTTTCCAGATGATTTTGTGCTTTTAAGATGTGTAACATCAAAGCACCTTATATAAAACGTAACGTTATTTCTTGTTAGGAAAATCCCAATTTATTTAGGGTTAACGTTCGTTCAATGTACCCATTGATTTACTGGCGTTGTAGTAGGGGAGCATGACGTCACAGTGCTAGCACTGGTGCTGGCCGTATTGACCACTTCGAAGTTGAAGTCAAGGTTTCCATCTACACTCAATTCATGTCGAATGACCTGATCTACATCACACTCAAGATCGCCATGTAGTATGTCCATGTTCAGATCCAGATCATTTGGCAGCACATTCTGATGGGGTAGAGACATTAATTGTCCAGGTACTTGACCACTGGAACTGCCATTTAAGAAATTATCTACATAGAGTTGACCTGAAGTTAATGCTGCCACGTTGTCTTGAGATGTCATCAAAGAAATGTCAGACTGTGGGAGCTGCTGCTCGTTAGAATGGCCAGTAGACAAAGCTTGAATAATCGCTAGCTTTTTGGCGAGTTCTTCCTGGTTGATGTGCAAAGTAGGCAGTTCTGTTGTAAGCTGCTGTTGGCTGGTTTGTCTAGGAGATAACTGCTGTACAGTAGACATCTCTGCTGAGTGTTGCTGTTGGGTGGCGTGACCAGAAGATAGACGCTGTATGGTAGATAGTTTTATAGGAAGTTGCTGCTGCCTGGAGTGACCAGGAGATAAATGCTGTATAGAAACTTCTTTTGGGATTTGCTTTGGGCTAGATGGGCCAGTGGATGTGCATTGTAAATTCGAGAATTTTATAGAAAGTTGGGGCTTGGTGAGACCAGGAGAGAATGACTGCAAGGCAGACAATACAGTTGGAAGTTGCTGCTGCTGGCTTGAGTGACCAGAAGGCAGACCCTGAAAGTTGGTGGTTTCTGTTAACTGAGGACTATGCTGTGGACTTCGCTGATGAGGTTGTAATGCCGTTAGGCCCTTGTCATCACTCACTGTAGAGTGAAATGCTTTATAATCACCATTTGCTTGTTTATTGTACTGGTAGTTGTTTAAGCTGAAGTTGTTGGAAGAGCTTAGAGGGCTAATAGCTGGAGACGAATCTCCTGGTTGATTTTTCGACAGATAGCCCATATCTCCTTCCCCGAGTTTCACTGTCTCAGCCAAGGAGTTCCCAAGTTGGTCAGCACAATACCTGTCCAAACTAGTAGATGACTCCATAAACAGTCCTAGGTCTGGAATCCAGGGTATTGGCGACAAGCGCGGAACTTGGTTATCATGCATGTCTGTTTCCACAGCAGGGATGGGGGAGAGTCGCCCACACGAACTTGCGTTGGATGACGCTCGAGGACGAAAGTCTGGGCTTAACTGGAAGCCTAGGTGTGATGGAGACTCGGGGAAGGTATCCAGTCCTTCAGCAGAAGGGGGACTTGTAGATCTAGCGTCCAATCCATTTCGCAGTGCTTCCACTTTTTTTCTGACTCGGCCACGCTTCTTCTCGTACTTTTGAGTTTCCATACTGGTAGCTCTCCGTCGCGTGGACTTCCCAGGCTTGGCATCCGGGTTAATTACCCACCACGAACTTTTTCCAGTACCTTCGTTCTGTATCCTCATGAAACGACTATGCAAGGACAGGTTGTGGCGAATGGAGTTCTGAAAATACAGACAAAACTAACATCAACACTTATATAACACGATTCTTTTATTATATACTATAAGTAATGTTTCAGTCACTGGTTTTCCAAACTTCTAGTAGTTAAAGTGTCCAAAAGCAACTTCACACTTGACTGAAGAAAAGCTAAGAAACAAAATATTTAATAAAACATCACAAGTAACTTCAAACACAAGACGTGGGCAGTTTCATTTCAGTTAAATCCGGAAACATGTACCAACAACATTTAAAACACTTTATTTATCACAGTGACCTTTCATAGTTCACATATGCAAGGTATTATTAGTTAGTATATAAATATTAGTTATAAATTTGAGTTGAAAATACTCTTTTGGTATTTTACCACATACAAGATTTCCTTGTTCAACCACTTACCGATTTTCTGGACAGTCGGAGCAGCATTAAGATTATCGATATCTGAACGAAACAATATATGTGCATTTCTAACATACAAAATAACTTTTCATCTGAACAGTAGGCATCAAGAATAATCTTCAATCACACTAGAGGTAATGTACATTTCATTAATAATCTTTCCTAGACCACCAGGAAATCGATACATCAAACCTCTTAATGGAATAATATATATGAAGATAGGTACATCATTATATTGAAAAGGAACATACCTTGCAACATATATATTCCAGATGAACCTACTTAATATACAGCCTAATGATATCATTAAGCATGCTCCGCAGTTACGTAATTAACAGGTCATTGACATAACACAGGTATACATACTCACAGAGTATACTGACATGCTCCATTTTCCTTAAATTTAGTTTCATTTACATTACCAGTTACAATCTTTAAAAAATTAATAGTAATATAAATTTACAAACTTGCGTTTGTTTTGAATGTCGCGCAAAGCCACACTAGGTCTATCTGCGCTAGTCGTTCCTAATTTAGCAATGAAAGACTAGAGGGAAGGCAGCTAGTCATCACCACCCACCGCCAACTCTTGGGCTACGCTTTTACCAACGAATAATGGGATTGACCGTCACATTATAACGCTCCCACGGCTGAAAGGGCGAGCATGTTTGGTGGGACGGGGATTCGAACCCGCGACCCTCAAGCGCGAAGATTAGTTTACGTACTCAGTTGGCCAAATCTAGTACGATATTATTGATGTTACGAAAGCACCTGACTGATAATGTATCATACTTTATAACTGTAGCTTTTTAGTTTTATGGTGTATTGATTTATGGCATGAGGTAGTTTTCAGTTTATTACATGAAACTAGTGTCATTTAATCAAAATATTTTTCCACGTGGCGAAATGTATTGTACCTACTTTAGACTACGAAGTAAGGAAGTAAAACTGGTCATTATTTTATAAATATAAACCCCAAAGCATCACTAGGTTTCCACAAGGGTTAACCACAAAAGAAAAACAACCGCTATGTTACTTAATATGCTTAACGTGAGTTGATTTTAATTCTCATATATTAATACAGTACACCATTATCTTTATTTAATACTGTCATTTTTCAAAATATTAAAGAAAATGTCCATCAATATTCACCGGAAATACTAACTAAAACTTTTCTGCGGGCAAAAACTGTAGTTAAAAATTATAAATAAAAAAAGAAAAGGACACAAGCGTGAATGAAAGAATATTTTATGGCAACAATCACAATTTGTGAAGAAATGTAACGTGGTTTTTAGCCGCGGCTCATAGAACTGCCCAGTTGTTGTTGTTGTTGTTGTTGTTTTTTTTCAAGGACAAACTTTCAGCTCGCAGTTTTGTCATCTTTTGACCGACTAGAGATCTAATTACAGTTTTGGACTCAGGAAGTCAAACCCTTTCGATTGATGAATTTGACCACGCCTAAGGCCTTGTAATTTAATTTATCCTAATCCTACCTAAAATAATTTCAATTTGAGGGTAGGCTGGTAGAGATCCTAATGAATAATAAAATTGGGTATTATTTTATAATAATAAAATCGGGTATATGTGCACGCCCCACGCTTGGTGTTGATGGCGCACAAAAATAAATCTAAAAAAAATGAATAAAAAAAGTATCATAAATTAATTTACTCTAATTCTGCCTAAAAGAATTTCACATGCCACGGCTATTGAGGATTCCCTCTTGTTAATAATTCAGTTAAAGCTATCTATTTGCTGATTATTAATATTTTTCTGTCAAGAATTTCTAAACAAACAAACAAAAATTCTTACTTGAGGTAACAAACTTAAAGCAGGCTCACAATCTGATGAAGTTAAATACATAATAAATAATTCGAAAATTACTTTTAGAAGATTCTCACCTATTCTTAACTCCATTTTTGAGTATAAAGGCATCGTACCTTTAAAACTAGTCCTTAAGATGTTTACTTATTCATGCCACAGAAGTTTAAGGCCAAACTGACACTATGTAACGCAAAAGAATAAAGTGAAAATCTAATATAGAAAAAAAAAAAAAATCCTGTATTAAGACTATATCAAGTTTCGATACATTACACTTCATCAGCCTCATTAGGTCAATAACGAGAATGTCACTGATAGAACATTATACGCGTAACAGAAAAACGCTATTAAGTCAAACTATCTTTGGACAACGAAGATATATATTTCTTCACATTTTTAATTGCTAAAATTCTAATTTCACGTGTTGATAAAAGTTTAACAGTATCATTTAGTTTAAGTACAAATGTAACCTTACATGGCTCTCACAAGCTAGTAGTACAAAACATTTCAGGACCAATATTTACTGACTTTAAGTAACAGAAAATGAACTCCAAAATTAAATAACTATTGTTTTATATTTTATAAAAAAATGCTATAATAGCTCAACTATTGAAAAACAAACGATTTGTTAAAATAACTTCTAAATAACCCTGTGTTACTGAATAAAGCACCAACGAATTAATCGTTATTTACAGTTCTGCGAGTATACACAAACTTTTCCCATTTTCAGTTTAGCAAAAAGTGATAAAACCATACGTATTTCTCGAAAAAAAAAGAAACTATTTAGCAGGATCTAAAAACTTTTGCGTGTAATAACAACCAAACCAAATAATACTTATTGAAACGAATAGGCCTACAATTTGTGATAAAAACTTAATTCCAGGTGGTTTTTGTGTGTGCTTTTTTTTTTTACACTACCTTGCCCTTTGCGATTCAAAATTAAAAGCGTATGAAAACAGCATTTTAGATCTATATATTATATCGCTCAAGTCATTGTCCAATAGCCCTTCGTTCAATACCAGAACTCGACGGTTTGACTAGAGGATGAGAGACAAAAGTTGACGAAGCATTAGAAAACAGTGCGCCTACAATTCATAATTTGCATTTTTTTCTTTCTTCTTTTAGCCTTACATGGCTCATAGAACGGCCCTGAATTGGTTTTGTTTTCTATCAAATACATACTTTTAGCTCATAGGTCCGTCATCTGTTGACCGATTTGATATCAAGTTACAGTTTTGGACTCAAGAGATCAAACCCTTTCAACTGATGTATTTGACCAAGCCCAAGGTCTCATAGATTAATTTGCTCTAAAGAATTTCAATTTGAGGGTAAACTGGTAAGAGATCCTGATGAGTAATAAAATTGAATCAGGTATACGCGCGCTCCACGCTTGATATTGCTAGCGCACAAAAATATAGCTAATACAAAGGGGGAAGGCTCACAGATTGATTTACTGTAAAATCTGCCTAAAAGAATTTCAAGTGCCGAGGCTATAGAGGATTCCTTCTTGTTTATTAATGAATATTAAGTAATATCTAATGCTGAACTTGGCTAGAAAAGTTGTTAATTATTTTTGAATTGCTTATATTGAAGACAGAAAGAGAAAAATTTGAAGATTTTATGTTCTTTATCCAATAAAAATTTTTATAATTTTACATTACTACCAAACGAGCGTTGAGCTTATTTTACATTAACATCTTTCTAACAGGTCACGTGACACCAGTTCGTCTGCACACGGAGACAAACAGTTCAAAGACTGTTACTGATCAATGTTGCCAAGTCAGCTATTTCCCATTTTACGAGAGTCACATTTTCTAGAGATCGTTTTTCGCGAAACTGAGATAAACACAATGGAACGGTTTGTCGGGTAGCATTTTACTTTAAACTTTCAAGGACTTTTCCAGAATCTCTTCATAAAGACCATTGACTTCTAGCACAGAAATTTTATTTAGAGAATTCCATAACTTTCCAAGATTTTCATAACCTGTTGCGAAACCTGCTCTAATCTGTTTTCACCCACAAGTAACAGAACTGCATTGATAGAACCTTGGAGAACTAGAAGAAATGTGGGTACTTATTTATTGAAGAAATTAAGCCGTCTTCTGTCTGGTTATTCATGTGATAAAGAGCTTTAAAAATGCTTGGAAGTTGGAAAGTTGAATAAAATCTAAATATTTTCATCGTCTATTTGTATTTAATCGTCTCAGTGTTATTATCAACATCACAGTAAACGTTATAACCCACAACAATGATTATTAGTATTATTTCTACAATTTAGCGAGACTTTAGAAGGAGATTATAAAATTAGGCTACCAACTATGTAATCATTTTTAATATTTCAGATTTCGTGACCATTTAACGCACGGGCTCAGGGTTTGGGGTTGTTTTGAATTTCGCGAAAAGTTACACGAGGGCTATCCGCGTTAGCCGTCCCTAATTTAGCAGTGAAAGACTAGAGGTAAGGGAGCTAGTCCTCACCACCCACCGCCAATTCTGGAGCTACTCTTTCGCCAATGAATAGTGGGATTGACAGTCAGGTTATAACGTCCCCACGGTTGAAAGTACGAGCATGTTCGATGAGCCGGGGATTCGAACCCGCGACCCTAACCAACTGGCCACGTCACGGATTCAGATCCGTACTCCCTTATATCATTCTTCTGGAGGCCCAAATGTTACATGCCATGTTTGGTGACAATCAGTCCAGCGGTTTGATTGTAATATGCGGAGACACGCACACAGAGACTTTGTCAAATAATGATATATATATGAAAGCAAGTATTTTCCAAATCAA